ACCCGGCGGGGAGGCCGTGCCGTGCCGTGCTCCGGGGTCGGCGGGAGGTGACTGTGACAAGCTGAAGTAGGTGCACGCCCCGCTGCCCATCCGGACGGGGCACACCTCCGTTCTCTATTTTTTAAGGGGTCTGCAAATGGAGAAAGGCTAAAAAGCAGCGCTGCAGCCAACCGAGGAGGAGGGCAGCCAATGGCAGCAGATGTCCGGGACACATGATGTAAGAGGGAAAGCTGAAAGAGCCAGGGATATTTTGTCTGAGTGGGAAAGGGACGTGGTAACAGCTTCGAAGTACTTGAAGAGTAGACCTGCAGAGCAATAGTAGCCTGTTCTCTGTGGCTGCAGGGGACAGCAGAGGGAGTAATGGTCTTAAATCGCAACAAAGGAAATGTAGGGTGGCTGTTAGGAAGAACTTTCTCACTTCATGGGGCATTGAGCCCTGGAGCAGGTTATACAGTCTCTCTAGGTAAGCTCCATCCTTGGCAGGTTGAGACCAGGTTAGAGGGGGACACATCTGGAGTGGGTGGGCCTGCCTTGAGCAGGGTGTTGGACTAGACGGCCTCCTAATGTCCCTTCCAGTCCTACTTTTCTGTGATTGTATCTGTCATCCAGTGTTTGAATTTGCAAACAGCTAGGCATGATTTTCTTACCTTAAAAGTTTCCACATTGGGGAAGTGGATGCAGAAGTGTGTACTAGCAAAGCCAGGCCCCAGAAGTTGCCACATGACTTAAATTAGTTGTATGAAGTGAATGCCCATCACCATTGTTTAATTAAAATAGGTACCTGTTGTGGAAGAATCTGCCAATTCATCAAAAGGTGCAGGCATGAAGTCATCTTTGAAACCAGATTTCACCACTAACATGCAAAATTGTTACAGCTAAACAGATGAGAGAAATGTCAACATATTCTTTAACAGATGTCCCCAGTGTAACCATTTTCTTGTTTGAGCATCTTCCACAGATCAGCACTCTTAATGCCCTTCTGTTGCATCCTCCATGACTCCACTTCCACTTTAAGATGTGTCCTTAAAAAACACACATGCACTGCAGCATACACGTGAAGTTGCAGCTTGCACAGTACCATCTGTGCTGTTCCTTCTTTCTTCTAGGATTACTTAAGTTAAACTGAGATCTTCAGAGACCACATTATCTTACCCATCAATCATGCATGTTTCTTGTCTTTAAAAACGCCGCTTACAAAAGTAAAGGTGCTTGCTTGATGCATCAACCACTCTTTATGCTTACTAGCCCTTACTCCTGGTTGATGTAGCAAAAATATGCATAGTTTAAATTTTTCTTAGGTTGGGTTTCTTAGGCCAAGAGCTTGACTTTATCCTCTTAAAATGGTGGTAGCCTTATGAAGAGGGGATATTTTGGATGAGAGAGCAACAAGCAAGCTAAATAATTAACCTGTATAGTTGAGTCTAGCTCAGTTAAATAGCATTTCAGGAATTATGGATAAAGAGGAGCAAAATCTCAAGTCCAGAGTTAAATGATTTCTTTTTTAAAAGTGAGGGTAACTTAATTGTGTTTCTCTTTTAGTGTGCAGTCTTTTCACCTACAACAATACCATATGAAAGCCTGGGACCATTGGGCCATCTTACTAAATATTTAGTTGACAATCACCACAACTTGCTGCATTATGGGTAAGGTATCTTCAGCAAGCTAAAATGTTGTTGCTACTCTGATTTTTTTTTTTTTCCCTTCTGCTCTCAAGAGTACCTTGGTTCTTAATACTCCATATTGCCTAACTTCATGATGATTCCTTTTATTACGTTGAAGGGCTGCTACCACCAACACTACTATAGTACTTGGAAAAATTTTATTTTATTTCTCCAGGACCTCTTATAAGTTTAAGTTTATTACCCTGGAAACAATAGGTGGGTCTCTAGATACTTCAGGGAAATTGTTAACTTCCCTTTTTAAAGGGAAATAAAAAGGGTGTCTTGGCACTACACTTGCTCTAAGGCTTAGTCTACACTAAAAATACTGTGGTCAACAGCTGTAAAATCAAATTGCTGTTTATAACATAGGCGTAACTAAGAGTTTCACCTTGTTACAAAACACTTAGATCTTTTTGCTGTTAAGTTTCTGTACACATGAGGTATTCCTTCAGTACACACACATACACTTATTTCAGGGAATCTCTGTAACATGGTCGCAAGATTCATTTGTATCATGGAAACTGGAGATGTGAATCAACACTAAATTCTGGCTTGGTACACAGTGAAATTAAATTAGCATAGTCTTAACGCCCCTCCAAAATTTGGAGCCCTTTCAGAAGGTAATTGGTGTGTTATCATCACAGCACTTAACTGGAGCAAGCCTACATTGTTTAGTTGAACAAAATATGCTCTGAATGCTCCTATGCTACAGAAAAATACAAACATCACAGGTGCACATCTATGAACACATCACAACTTAAGATAGTTTTTAAGTGTTGGATTTTTTTTCCCCCGTGAACTTATTTAAATCCTTTAAGACAGTGGAGGCCTACCTTTTTTGGCCTTTCTGCTTTCCTTTGCTTACTCTACACAGTTTAGGCCTGTACCCTCCAAATGCTACTCTGCTCCCCTTCCCCTGCCCGGTCAGCTGTTCTGCTTTCTGCTCCCTGCCTTAGCTTTTGGTGTGCTGCCTGTCCCAACCTTCCCATCAGCTACATGCCACACACACACAACAGGCTGTCCATGCCACCTGTATCATGCAGGTTGGCCAGCCCTGCTTTAAGAAGTATTGACATATCAGTTTGAACACTGTTTTTGACTGCTTTGGCTGGGGTGGGAGGAGGAGGGGAGAGGGGGCAGTGACATCCTTAATTGCCAAACAAAACAAGCATTAAGCGGAACTGCGCTAAGCAAAACCCAATTTCCCATAGAAATTAATGTAAATAAATATAATTTGTCTCACCCTGCCCTGGGCCCTTGCTGGCCCTGGGCCCCATATTCAGGGCCGCCCTTTGCTCAAGTCCGCCTGCCTGCCCACTCACTGCCACTTACCACTTCTTGCCACAGCCGTTTCTGCCCACTGGCCACTCCAGCACCACATGCTGGCCTTGGGCACTGGCCCTGCCCTCACGCCCACCCCCTCACTCACCGCTGCTGCCACTTCTCCCCACCCCCTCACTCGCCAGCTGCTCCAGCACCACATCGCCCTGCCCTAGGCCCCTGCCAGCCCTGGGTCACCAGTGCAGTCTCCATGCTCACACCCACCCACTCGCTGCCACTCACTCCTTTTTACTGCTGCTTCTCTCTTCCTGCCCGCCAAAACTCACTGATTCCACTGAGTGCTATAGTGAAACTGCCTGAGTGCTCAGTGGAATAAGGTATGAATTTTAAATTAGTGCTACAGTGAAATAGCTCTAACTGAAACCGTGTTAAGTGGGGGTTGCCTGTATAGGACTAAAGGTCTCTTCCAGCCCTAATGTCTATGAAATCTATGAAGTTTGCTCAGTGTACAAGGCTAACTTGTATGGCTTAGTTGGCAGTCAGGTTGCTAAAGCACATGGTTTTTGGACCACTATCTGCCATTTTACAAAACACATGAGAACTTTTAGGTGAATGCCAGCTGAAACAGTGAAAATTTCAGTTGCTTCTTAACTTCCTGTATGCATTTAGTTTCTGTTTAGACCAGTGGTGCCAGTCTTTTTGCCCCTCGGGCCGGATGAGTGATGCCAGGTTGGTTCACAGGTGGGATCTGGTCCTTGGGCCCTATCCTGGCATGCTGGGTTTGGAAATCTGGCAATAAGGGAGCTGTGACAGTGTTAATTGCTGCTGCTCTCCCAACAAATTTCCAGACCCATGGGGAAACCTGCAGGTCAGATCACTTGGTTCTGCAAGTTGAGCGCCCCTAGTTTAGGCTGCATATAAAGCTTCCTATCCTGAATAATCTTAGAATTAATCTTGCTTCTCCTTTAGTTAATAAAGCAAGAAGTTATAGTTTCTGCTTTTTCAGCATCTCTCCATGCTGTACACAATGGTTTATGGATACAATGTGGTCCTCATCTTCTACAGCTAAAACAAGTTTCCATTCCTTTATCATCAGGTTTTGGCTTGCCTGGGGAATTCATGGAGCAGAAGCCTTGTACAGTGTCAAGTTATGCAAGTAAGGTTTTTATATATACAGGATACCCTAAGCTGAAATAAAATATTTGATATATAGTTTACTTTATTAAGCAAAAAGGGGAGTTTTAGAACACTTTAGCATGTATTAGCTAACATTTGCCACATGCCTGTTCTACTCTAAATGGGCCTAAGAATGTAAGCTACTATAATAGTTTAACTCAGGTCAGTAGAGGGTGCTCTAAGTATGTGACAAAACTTGTGTGTGTAAATAGAATTTCATATTACACTTAATGCTTTACAATAGGAATAGGAAAACACCTGATCTAGCTAATGAACTTTTTCACGCGGTGCAGCTTCCTGAGAAAGTGGACAGAGATTTGTTGATGGAATTATTACTTTATTTACAACCACACTGAAGGGCAGGAAGAATTATTTTAGGGGACACTGAAGCAGTGTCCAGACGAGCGTGGATGTGTAGTGTGCGGCACTGCAGACCCATCTGTGGCACCACACATCACACATGCTGTACATGCAGCTGTTTCCCACTCTGCTACTTGTCAGCATGGGGTGGAGTTGACCCTAAAAATAAATAAATAAAATCCCAGGGTCAAAAAAACGCATGCTTAAAAAAATGGGGTGTTGCATGTGGCAGTAGCATGTACTACCCAAAACCAGAGCCTGGCCAGCCAGAGCCACACTCCAGCTGCTGGCCAGGCTCCCTGCTGCAGGATCGCCACAGCTGCAGGTCCTGGAGGCCTCCAGGTAAGGCTGCTGGGGCCAGCAGAATTACTGGTCTCTGCCTCCCCTATCCTACCTGGGATAACAGGCCGCGTATGAGAGTGTGCGTGGTATGGGCATTCCCTGGTGACAAGTAGCAGTGGCACAAGGTGTGCCGCTGCTACTTTTCCCCAGGGAAACAAACATCCATGCATATCTGGACACCCATGTTCCTGCTCATGGGGATGCACCCTAAGTGACAAGTCTTTAGGAACAAAACTATACAAGTGTTACTGGCACTGTGGTAGTGTACCAATAGTCTACTGGACTCCTAGAAATACAGTATCTTAGGAGGCATATTTCCTTTTGAAAGAGGTGTCTGCTGCTGTGCAAGTTGATTTCCAGAGGAATTGGGTCATGTTCCCATCATCCATTATTCCTCCTGCCTCCAACAAGCAGACAGACACCAATAGGTGAAAACAGTGGCTTTCAGGACCTACGCCAAGCTGTGTCACTTGGCCCCGTGCCTACAGACCTGTTGTAGAAGAACTTGCACCAGCCTATATTTTGTTTCTCCCTCCTTTGCTGGGCAAAGACACCAAAGGAAATAACAGCCACCTTTGCCCCTTCAGAGATCAGCTGCCTATACAATTTCTTGGATATTCATTTAGAGTAAGATTGTAGAAAAGGATGTAGCTTAGATTAGTATTATGCCTTGCATTTTAGATTTTGCCTAGTACTTACTCTAAAAGTGATAGTACACAGGGTATAAGCTAAATAAATGATTCAGACAGTTGACAAAGCTACTTGGATGGAGCCTTAATGGGCCTGTTTTATGTACTGTTACAGTGGTCTGATATTCGGAGAGCCTACAACCAGTTCTTTAGGTGAAAGGTGATAGCTAGAAGTCCATTATTCGTACTTAGATTAATTCCTCTGAGCATTTTTTTTAAATGTAAGTGTTACCACAGAAACATAACTTCATATGGAACTTTTGATTTGCATGTGGAAAAGTTTCCTGTTTCAATAACAGGCTTCTGCTGTTCAGATTTTTAACTCACTGCCCCTGCAACTCCTGTATCAGAAAATGACAACAGCACCTTTTTATGCTGCCTATTGTAATTCACTTATTCTGAGTGTTTGAGGACACTATCCAAGTGCTTTTTGCATTCTATAGTTATAGAAAGTGTTACCTGAATAGGTAGAACTCAAAGTTAACTTGAGACTACCTTTCAAATAATTTTAATGAAAGCTCCTACCAATGTCTGCTGAATCCTTTATTAAAGGTATTGGGACTGCCTTAGCAATTATCCCAAGGTTTCTTTGAAATAAAATACACAGTGTAATCAAGTCTTGGAACCCTGTCAGAGTTCCTTCTCTTATCAAGTTAATGCTCCGTTATGAAAATTGTATTTTTTCCTTGGTTTGCTGTAGGACCAAAGGCATCACTCACGGCCCAACTCAGCTTCAGTGGTTCTTCCAAACTGTATTTTTTGGGATGGCTTCCCTCTACAAGCTGCTAGAATATAAGCCACCGTCTAAGAGACAGGAATAAACAGACTGGACAAGAAGAATCTATGCTAACATACTTCATCTTCATATCTCAGAGAATGGATCCTCCTCTTAGCCATTTGGGTTGTGGACTATTAAAATGCATTCCCAGTGAGACTCAGTACTCTCTTACCAAGCAACTCCTTGCACATCACTAAATGCTAGGTCTCGGGTGAAGGGCTCCGTGTATGGCCCAAAAAGTGAGTAATTGAAATGGAACCTCTTTTGTGTAACTGCACAACTCTTTCTGGGTAGAAGCACTGGAGACCAAAACTAGTTTTCCTCTAGTCTATTTAGTAATATAAGCTGTGTAATAATAATTCAAAAAAAAAAAAGTACAAAAAAAGTTCATGGTAGATGCCCCTTCCTCTCCCACTAGGTGGTAGCAGGTACTAGCAGACCTTTCTACTTGTAAAAGCTTTCCTCCAAATCAGAGCACTTAATGCCAGGCAGCTTGTAGCACTTCATTCTCTTTTCTTCAATGTTGCACTTGTCTTTGGTTAGTGCTATCCATCAATCTGCTCTGACTGGTTTCTTTTTCTTCTTCCATCTTCCACAAAGGTTAGAGACGACAAGGCTGCAGAAACACTAACAAGCACCACAATTATACCACAGGGTGAGGTGTGGCAATGAGGCAGAGTACATGACAAAACACTTCAGCATACTCAATTAAAAGGTGTTTAAGAATTCTGTTAAAAGGTGCTTGCCTTAAACCTTGCACAGACATTTGCATTTTGTACTTGTTTATTCAGGTTATTGAATTCAGCAGCCAAGTATAATTTGAAGGGTGGGTACTACTTTTTCCTGACAAAGTTAATTCACATATATAATAGTTTAGTACCATTCTTAGATGGAGTTTCAAAAAATATACATGAATGTTTTATGTGTCCCTCTAAGTGCAGTCATAACCTGAGTAAGTTTGTATGCATTAAACATCTAGTTGGAAGCAACAGTGGAAGCTTTCCAGAGACCATCTGAAGCTAGTGTTCTCAAGAGTGTTTCCTAGATGCATTTGATACAATTCTGGTCTATCTTTCTTGAACTATCCCTGAGAAATAAGAAGCTTGTCTCCGTCTTAAGTAGCTGCAGACAGCTGTTACTACTGTAAACTATTACATCTTAGTACAAATACTAAGAAGTGCACCAAAGCTAATTGAAAATGTATTGTGTTTTAACAATTCTCCAGGGTTAAGATTATACTGTTTATAAAATAGTACATATTAGTTGTCCACCTGTCAGCCAGTACAAATTATCAGAATACAATACCAGATTATTAATTCATGATGCTTGTGTTGCTAGCTTTCTCTTTAGAGAATGACCACCCCTTTTTCAAGTGTCTATTAGGAGAATGGGGAGAGTTGTTGCCATCCTGACCAGAATTGCAATAGGGGGTAACCCTATATTCTGTAGACTGCAACTATGGACCAAGACTTGTAGCTATATCAATAGTAGCACTATCTGTAAATTATTAGAAATGTGGAAGCCTCATACAGGCACTGGGTACAACTCTAATCTAACAAGATATCTGACTATATAGGTGTGAAGTGGCTGCAAGTTACAGTTTATGAAAATTGTGCAGGTCACTGGTTATTGGCAAATAGTGTTTGTATTGTCCCCAGGGCTGGATGGCATGTGAGAGACAGCTGAGGAGGAGTCCCAGAAAAAAAATCTAATTGGTTATGAGAGGAGCACGGTTGTAGGAAGTGGCTGTTCTCTCACCACCTACTTTTCATAAGCAGCTTTTTGTGACCAGTGCGTGTGTGGCCAGGATCCAACATACTCTACTTCATTTTACTTAAAATCATGTAGTCACACTTACTTACCAGGTGTTGGGTTTGAGATGAGCTCATATTTGACTATATCTGCTAGCATACAGTAACCACTGATCTTGGATATGATAAACATTTCTTGTTTTTCTCTTGTTACTCTGCTTATATTTTTGGTTTTTCTCTTTTACAAGCCTTTGGCAAATATTCACCCTTGTGATAGGCAAGTTTTTTTTCCAGTATATTTGTTCATCTCCCATTCATATACAGGGTTTTGAACTATGTTTACAGTTTTATCTCCACTAGCAGTACATCACTGTTTCTGGAAGTTGAAAACAAAGAGGAAAGCAAATAATATACATGTAATCTTACGTCTTAAAATACTGATGCTATTATGGTGTTCTTGTGGGAAGAAAAAAAATCCATTAAAATATTTTGCAGAGAAGTTATGTTTTGGTTTTATCCTTCACCAGTTCCTTTTCTTAAGGAAAAAGAAGGGGGTCTTCCTTAAGATCAAGCCTCACTGGGAAACCAGGAGAAAGCATGTTTACCCTTTTACAATCCACTATTTGCCTCTATTGGTCAGGTCTTCAGCTGAGAATAAGCACAGTGATTCTCCTGAAGCCAGAGATGCTAGCTGGAGATCTGCCCCTGTTCTTTTAAGTTGCAGGTCACCCACATTTCATAAGATCCAGTGTTAGCTTCAGGAGCTAAGCATATATACTTGTCACCCATAGTAGCCGAGATACAAAAGGTAGACAAGGTTCTTTGGGTAAATCTGATATATTTTATTAGACCAACTAAAATAGTTGGGAAAGTTCTTTGCAATCTTTCGGGTTCAGGCAGAGAAACTTGTCTGCTTATGTCCTTAGACCAATGACTACAAGCAGCACCCCGATACAAAAGGTAGTACATTTATATACTTCTTACAAAGAAAGACAATTCTGATTAAAAGTAAGTTGAGATGCTTCTTTTTAATGTTTTTAATGCACTTTTAATGACAGCCTCAGCATGTGTTCACGTCTAATTTGGTTAACTTATCTTGTTAGTATATTTAGCTAGTCATGGGGCCAGAAGTAAGAACTATACCCAGAGCTGAATTCAGTATTCTCTTTAGTGTTTGTTAGTTACAGGAAGGCCAAAAAAATAGCAAGACCCTTTACCATCCTTCTTCAAAGTACAAATAAAATGGGTGAATAGCTTTGAGGACTGAAGGAGGTATAGGACCATATTGTTTGCTTAAGAATATTACCATTCCAAACACTAATAAAGACTGAGTCTGACAGACAGAGTTCTTGTGAATGTAACCAAGTTCTTCTGTAGGAGTCTGGCCAAGCCTTGATTCAAAGTTCTCACAAACCACAAGGCTCACTCAAAGAGAAAACAAAACATGTTTTAGGAGACACCAGCTAGTTTACTTTAGGAAGGAATTTTATTTTCTGTTTACTTTAAAGTCCCCTCAAGCTCTTTACTCAACTAAATAGAACAACCAGTACTTACGTTTGGAGTAATCCTTTAAAGAACTGAGAAGAACAGGTTCTAACAACAATCTACTTCTAACTGGGACAGCCCAGTTTATAGGTGCTCTCCAAAACTCAGCTGCAGCACACTTGACTCTCTCCTGCAAAAACTCCTCTGGGTCTTGGTTCCTCTCATCTTTCCTTGTTTCACTAGAAAAGCTGGGATGTAGAGGTCCTATTACCCAGAGGCCTCTCTCTTGGGTCTTGAACAATTTGTACCAGCTGTTACAAGCAGGGGATTGGTGGAGAATCCAGGACCTCTTTGCTATTTATGACTCTGTATGAAACTTTACCTTCTACATGTCAGAGAGACTCTTTGGTATTTTCACATATATAGAGAAACACATGGCCTGTGGTTGTAATTTGAAGCAGGTATTTCTCAGCAGCTTGTAGCCAAGCCATGAAATATCACCATCTTACTTTTAGTGCACAAGTCTCTGTCATTTTACAGCTGTAAACATTTATTTTCAATTTTCCAACTATCCCATAAAAATGTTTCAGTAACCAAGGTAAAAGAGGACAAATAGAGCCACCCAGAATTAGCAAAAGGAAATACAAACATCATTATTGTCCATAGTGGTGACCATGGAAAGAAAAGAAAAGCAGGTTCCTAAAGGTTCTGGGAAACGGAACCTTTCCAGCCCAGCACATATGTATATATATAAACCGGTCACAATGGTCAGGTAGGCCAGAGTTACTCCTTTCTATTTTAGATCTCAGAGCCCAGACTTGAAAGGAGAAATATAGTATCTACCAATGTGCCAATGCGACGACAGTCCTGTGATTGGAAAGCCATCAATGACAGAACGACACCCCAAGACATAATCTTCTTAATAGCACCACTTGGCACTTACCTCTATTGCAGCATCCACAACCATCCACCTGCCTGCACCAAGCTGGTTAGCTATTGACTATGGCCAGTTCTTAGCTTCCTTCTTCAGGAATTAGCACTGATATCATGGGGAGCTTTGTGTGGACCTCCAGAATAGTGCCCTTTGTCATCCTGAAATTCTGCAGCCACTGCCAGTCATCCTGTTTGCCACATGATCCATTGGCCAATATTGTTTCATGCAGCACTGAAAAGCAACACTACACTAAGTGATGCTAATCCAAGAAAACTTCCTCCAGAAACAGCTGGTCCATGGCAGTCTCTTCCTTTTCATTGCCCTCCCAATACAACTACCGATAGGCTAAATGTTGGCACTGCTGTGGAAGCTGCTCTGTGGTACAGAAGATAATTAAAGAAATGAAATCATTTGATGGAGAGTTCTCAAAAGGCTGCTGTCTCTTTGAAATCAGCAGCACAGGATAGAGCAGATTCATCCAGGCTAGCCAGTAGGTATGCTGGAAATGGCATTGACTGGACAGAAAAGAGATGGATCTTGGGATGGCTGGAGGGGAGTTATGGGAGTTCACGAGCTTGATCTCAGAGCTCAGAATTGTAGTTGCTTCCAGCTGGCTTCTGATAAGTATCCCACAATGTGCCATGAGAAAGTTCCCACAGTACCTGGGATACAGCAGGAGAATAAAGAAAAAAGGCATACTTGCCCATACTGCTGAGCACTTAATGTGGAGGAAATCTCTGCCATATGGAAGCAATACTTTGAAATGGAATAAAAGCCAGCTGACTATGGATATGCAGCATCTAAATTTCCCATATGCTATATGAAGCAATCAGTGTGTTCCAGTTGTGTGAGGAAATCACTCAGAAAGGCTGAAAACAGGGATAGATAATTGTTTGAAGGTGGGTTTTTTTGCGAGTGGAAAGAAGAGAGTGAATGAGTTTAGAGGCAGATGGATCTGTATGCATAAGTTACTTGACTGTCAACAGATGGAGCTGGGAGAGGTAGAGGACAGATAAGGAAGGAGGAGTGTATTGGGTGTTTGAATAGGAAAAATAAAGGAGAGTGAGAGGCAGGGACTGAGAGCAAATGAAAATGATTAAAAGAACCTTGGCAAGAACGGAATGTGGGTTCAGGGAGGACAGAACATGAGACTAGAAAGAGGCCTGGAGACACCAAAACATGGAGTAAAGAGCCAGGGATATTAGCTGACAGTATGAAAGGAGTTGGGGGAAATAAGTGAAATCAGAGAAAAGGCAACAAAATACTGAAGAAGGGAAATTTAGGTGAGTATGGAGAAAAATCTAATCTATAGGAAAAAAACCCAGTTTCTTACATTTAACAGTTGTGTATGTGGCTACTGATAGTAACATGAAGCTTTTAAAACTGCGGCTTCTGTATGTTTGTTGCACTTAGTAAAATTTGATTTAACACTAGGGCAATCATTCTAGAAATCTAAATTAAAACCATAGGTAGAATTTTCTTTATGTTGTTTTGGTGTTTACAGTTCAGGGCCTACCATCTTCTGAAACACGGAACTGCTTGCTATTTCAGAGGTTCCTGGAACCCTGCTACCTTGCTGGTCAATTATACTTGTATTCTCTGTCTTCTGTTCACTTTCCCATAAATTGGGTTAAAGGGGCTGTGTACGTACTGTTCCAGATTAATTCCACCTGGTCAGACAACATGCTGTGATTCATAGATGCTAGGGTCAGAAGGGACCTCAATAGATCTTCGAGTCCGACCCCCTGCATAGGCAGGATCTCATAGGAAATACTAAATTTGCCCTACCAAAAGGCCAAAGACTGCCATGCTCACAACCCCTATTGGACAAAAATTCTGTATAGCAGCAGTACCTATTTTTCTGTTGAAATTACGTGTAGTGACATACAACACCCCATATTACTCTTGTAAGGGTCTACCTATGATTTATGGTTTACCTACAGTGTGTGATATTTTCCTTAACAGTTGCACGTTTGATCCAGATTACACTGGATTTAACCTAACATGGTGAAAATGCAGCACATTTTGCCCTTGAAAGAAATGTGCAAGATGCTAGCAACATTTTTACCATCATGCTAGATTTTCACAATAAGGGAAAATGCTCAGCCAATATGTGTCTTGCATTTTTGTAAAAAACATTTTGAAGTAATTTCTTTTTTTGCTTTTGCCAGCTTTTCTCACAGTGAAGAAAATCCACATAGCTCCAGTTATACTTCTCCAGACTAAAAACACATGGTTTAACTTGCAGTGTATAACAAAACAGGGACCACAAACAGACATGTTTGTCCCAGTCCCCAAAATTTAAGTGGCATAGGAAATATAGGCCATTAACTTAGATTCATGTAGTAACCACCCAGCTACTACAACCCTTGGCTTGAAGGCCAAATTAATTTGTTTCTCTAGGACATCATTTATATATTGCAACTTAATTAAAGGCTAGATGTACATCGAGTGACAAGCACATCAGTTTCAACCCTCTGTTTCCAAAAATATTTATTACATTAAAAGTTGTCCAAATATTGGCAGAGGTTAGCTGTTCAAATCCATCTAGACTCTAGGGGTCAGTACAATTACTTTGCATTTTGATAGTGCCATCCTTTAGAGGTTCTCAAAGCCTTTACAAACAGAAATGATTAAAGCCTCCCAGCAGCCCTACAAAGTGGAGAATAAATATTGGAACCTGTTCCAAATAAATACAAATCAACATAAAATGTTACTGAAAAACATTGCCAGTTTGGACACATCCATGTTAGAAACAGAACTAAAGGAGGTCTCCTGCAGTGCATACAGGAGCCTCAAATCCTTAATGTGCTTTGTGTGGTTCAGTCTTTTTGGCTGCAGAAGGATGCCACAAAGTTTCCAAGCCAGAGTGAATCCACGGGAAAGATCTCCAATCCTTCCCCCTCTACAAAACAGCTTGTAAAGAAAAAATCCTGAACTATTATATCCTACTCTGTTACTTCTAGCCTATATCGTGACTTTCTGCATTCTTTCGCTTTTTTTGCAACCTTGCAAAGTAATTTTTCTGGTGCAATGAAGAAAAAAAATGTATTAGAAGTTAGCTTTTCAGCTACAATTTA